TGTGTGTGTTATATATATATATATACATACATGCATGTCGGCTGAAGCTACTTCTTCACAGGAGTTAGGCCTGCGACTTGTAATTACATACGAGCGTGTTCTCAAGACGACAAGGGTCCCTAGCAACGAATCCTGCAAAAATACTTGCGCCATTTACCCGAAAACCGTTCGTGCCTAAGCTTGTCATGACAACACACATTTTACCGGTATTTACACTACTTTCGGCTTCTTAGCTCAACTACGAAGGCTTTCAAGTACATCAAAACTACTTAGTTTGTCCCCCACGACCTTTTGGCCATTTTACATACATGTTTCTTGAAAACAACAAAAGTACTGTATTTTACAGTACTTCGCGCACAACCATATCACAACGACTTTGCTCCCAGCAGCGGGCGCCCTACGAGCCCGGTGCGTAGTAGTAGTAGCAGTAGTAGAAGTAGTAGTAGTAGTAGTAGTAGTAGTAGTAGTAGTAGTAGTAGTAGTAGTAGTAGTTCTGAAAAATCATAACCATCATAGTAATCATAAGAGCAATACTAGTAATGATTTTAAACAAATCAAGCGGTTCCATGTCCACGCAGTAGGTGGGGATCTCAGGCAAAGGCTTGCCATCCTCTCGTGGTTTCCGGGTGATTGCTGATCCGTCCAGGAGTCTGCCGAACGGCGCGGTGCGCGTCGCGGACGCTTCGCCAAAATGGCCCGTGTGGACCAGGCCTCCTGTAATGCCGATTAAGGCGCTCATAAAAATTGCAGGGAAAAGCTGCACAGCATGATGTGTTGTCCAGGACTTGACCGTCCTTTCAAGCCATCGGCCGGGGATGCTTCGTTCAGCCGGCAGCACAGGTGGCGGAACCGGATTGCTTTGGCTGGGAAGTGGTCGGCTCCTATTCAAGTAATTCCAAGTATATCTGTGCGTCTAGCAAATGCGTGTATGAGTACTCATATCTAGCTGTCCGTCTATCCGGCTCTGTCGTCAGCATAGCATGTCGGAAGAGCAGAGCTTTTGAACTTCGCCTTGGCACCAGCGTCTGCATTGCCTTGCTCAGACGCCGGGGTCCTCGTCGGCCGCTGTCGTGCCTTGGAACGAGGCAGGGCATCTGTCGTGCGGTTCCATGATTTCGGCGAACTTGTTGTTTGCTTTTGAGGCTACCTGCGTGATGCCGCGAAGCTCCGTGATCCGGAGCAGATTCGGCCCATGCCGGCTTGCTACTCAGCTTCAGTCTTGGCCAGGATGGGGGTGGAGCACAGAGCCAAGAGGCCAAAGGTCCCTGCAAACCTGCATACTAGTATCAGCTCTCAGTTGTCGTCGCTAGCAACTTTGATATGGAGAGGAAATACCGCGGCAACTGTATCAGCTCACTCTGGGAATCGCGCAGAGTGTAAAGATGTGTGACTTGCAATTCGGAGCTTTGCTGTCGTCTTGCCGCGCACGACGTCGCAGCAGTGCTGCGGATATCTCATAATATAGGAGCCTTAATAATTACCTATACTATTTTGGACGGACTTTGCACCATCGGAATAATAATCAATAATATGCTATTTTGGGGGTTCCTTATTATAACCACCGTATAATATACCCCCCAAAAACCAAAAACCCTCGTGTTCGGAACTTCGAATTGTGAGGTACTCCGCGAGGCGTTGCAGCACTGCCTCTCAGCCGGCCGTGCGCCTTGGCTTCAGAGCCGAGCCCGAAGCTGAAAAGTTCCGAAACCTTGGGGTTTTGGGGTATATTATGCTATACTTATAGTAAGGAACCCCCAGAATAGTATAGCTACTATATTATGAGAACATTGGGGTTTTGGGGTATATTATACTATACTTATAATAAGGAACCCCCAGAATAGAGGTTTTGGGGTATACTATGCTGTAGTTATAAGAAGGAACCCCCAAAATAGTATAGGGGTATACTATACTGTAGTTATTACAAGGAACCCACAAAAATAGTATAGGTAGTTATGAAGGCTCCTATATCACGAGTTGTGAAAGGGTGAAGATGTGCAGGCGCAGCAGAGTCTTGTAATTGCCCCACTCTCATCCTGAGATCTGATCCTTGCCGAGAGCGCCGATGACACTAAACAAGGGCGCCCCAGCCTGCCGGACCCGTCGAGTGTGAGTGTAGATCGTCTCAGCAGTTCGGTGAGGGTGCAGGCCTTCCGGCGAAAGAGATCGATAGAGATTCCACGAAGAACATGCATATCTGAGCACTGTACTGCTGCACGCTAAAACATCCAATATCTACCCGCTAAGCACTAAGCCCTGAAACAAGCAAACACCTGAACGCTTGAAGGGGCCGTGCCTTACGAAAACCGTCTCGAACGCCCTGGCAACCGAGGCATGGTCCTGGGAAGCCGAGATGCTGAGGGCGATCCGGCAGGAGACGTCCATGGGTTACGGGAATCTCACGTCCGTAAACTTCCTGTAGTTGGGGTTCTAAGTCAAGCTCTTGTGTTTAGGGTGTGCGGTTTACGGCTTGAGACTTGATCATGAGACAACCCATTCCTGACAAGCTCATGGATTTGCCACAGTTCTGTTGTTAGAAGAAAGCATCTGCTGCACATGTTGGTCCATGTGAAGACGTCAGTCAACGCGTGTTTTTCGATGCTGTTACGATCTAAAACTGCAGAAGAACTTACTTGGTCGCAGTGCCGCGAGCATCATGAAATGAAGCCTGAGATCTCGAGCGGCACCAGGATATCACCGTCCAGCATCTGGATGCAGACTTCCTGGAAGAGGCAGACCCTGCCGAGCTACCCCGAAGTCTCGGTTTCACTGCTGTGATGTTCAGGCTTCGGGTTTACGAAGTCCTGGCACCGTAGAGCCCTGTGTGTGGTACAGAATTTCACAGGTATTCGCGAACACGCAAAGACAAAGAGAGAGGACCTCCTACACCCCAAACACCAAAATCACTAAACCCTAACACACCTACAACTTTTAGGCCCGAAACCCATCAAGTCGAAAACCCTAAACACCAACATCCAGAACCCAACCCTAAACCAAACAACCCAAAACCCTAGAGTCCTAGAGATCCTACAGCCATCCACAAAGCCTAAGCCCCACAAGCTCAAGTTGTAGTCGGCGGCAAGCTGGGCAGGTCTGTGAGGTGTCCTGCCTGCGTGCATTGGCCAACGGGGATTGGCCCGTCTTTGCCGCTTGCTCAGGAGTGTAGGGGTGTTCTTTAAAAGTAAAAAAGCGTGAGCGTGAGCGTGTGTGTGTGTGTACTTTGAAATCTTGCAGGAAGAGGAGATTGCCTTGACCTTCTGTATCTACAATATAGCTTCTTGCTACAGCCGCGCGCGCACTTGAGATTGGACAGCACCATTCGAAGAAGTTTGTAAGAATGGTGTCTTCGGCTTGGTGTTTGAAATCACTACTCTGAGAACGAGATGCATTGTCAGTCTTGCTGTTGCGAGCGGTACATGTGTCGTCGATTCTTGGCCTCTGTCTTCCAAGAGTGTTCAGCATTTGATGATTCTGTCTGTGCACTTGCACTCCAGGCTTCTTGCTCATCCACGCTGAAGCGGCGACCACGTGCTGCGGTGGGGGTCTCTGGGCTGTGGAGGGCTTTGTGCTTCTCTCTCTCTGCTCTCTCGCTAACCCCTCGTCGGTTTCGACCACGTGTGTTCGCCGGATGCTGACGAAGCATGATGGAACAAGCTCGACATGGGAAATCCGAAAGACACGGTGTGAGCTTAGTGAGGTTGGTCTCCCGGCCGGAAAACGTCCGTGACAACCAGCAACTTCGATCCCCATTCTACGTACACAGTGGCGGACATGGCCAAGGGCCGAATCTGTGACAGCCTCACTCGCAAAATGGAAGCATGCCTTTCCGAACCGCATCAAACCTTGCAGACCGGTAAGAGCGAAAGCATGATCAGAGGCACAGCAAGACAGGTCTCATCTGGCCGGATGATACAAGGCACATTCGCACATTCGTCCTCCAAAGCAGCGGAGGAGCTCCGCTGGCTTGCGCTGCTTGGGCGCCCGCAAGTCCTGGCAGCAGCTCTGCAGGCGATGCCTTTGGAGGAGTGGGGCTCGTTTCCAAGGATAGGTCTCTGGTTTGCTGCTTTTCAGGTTCCCTCCTTGTCTACTTATGTGGGACAGCAGCCATCAGTGTGTGAGTGTACCTTCCGTATTCCTCGTTGGAGCCACGACTCAGTGAATTGGCAGGACACTGTCTCGGGCTTCGTTCGCAAAACATTGGCAGATCTTAGTGTGGGCTTGTGGACCCGGGCTCTCAAGCGGAAAGCCCCGACTCAGAAACTCGGCTGCCTCTTGTTCCACTCTGTACATGCAGATGCTGAGGATCCGTCTAAAAGTACCACCAGCGATGGATGTGTTTCCAGGACAGCCCAGCAAGCCTTCGACATTGCCGTCAAACCCACTGCAAAGGCTTGCCATGAAGTGTTGGCGTGAATCCATGAAGCTGTGCCCGGTGACATGGCCTCCACAGAGTTGGACTGCACCCTCTGTGTCAGGCACAGCTCCTGTGTGCCATTTGCAAGGCCATCACTGGCTTTGGATTGTCGGTTGATGCTTTCGGTGGCAAAGTGGCATGCATGCAATGGCCATCGTTCACAATGCTTCAACCATCCTCCGAGTTGGCCATCGGAGTTGCTGATTGATTTGCGCACTTGTGCTCATGCAGGCGTTCCCCACTGCACAGCAGCCGACGCTGCCACTTGGTCATTCATGCTCTCGATGTTTTTTAGGTTCAGCTTAGACTGCGCCAGAAGATGACGAGGCAAAGCCTCGGTGTCGACAGCTTGCCGTCCAGCGTAAGCCTCACTGACAACTTGCTGAATGGGAAAGAGGCCAGAGGCAGCAGTTACATCTCTCGGGATATGCAGCTTTCGGAAGTTCGGACGAGCAGCTGTGCTGTTGGGGTCCCATCAGCAAACATCGACCCCCACTTCCGGTGTGCGCGAGGCATTGCTTGCAGCTCAAGAGGTGCTCCAGGTGGCACAGCGGCCGCAGCAGCGCAGGGGTCCCAGTTTTCGCCTCTCTGGCCTTCAGAGGACAGGGCTGTTCCAGCGATCTTCTCTTCAGGTGAAGATCATGGAACCTTGGAAAGCAATTTGGGCAGTGATGAGCAAACACCAAGCAAGCTGCATGATGGCGAAGTTTTGTGTCATGACCCGTCGTGCTTTTCATGGTTTTTGTGCGGGTGACGGTGTAGTCAGTGGTATTCATCAGAGGCTCGGAGTTCCTCCGCTGAGCCACCCGGGCGCTCTCCCATCCACCAGTTTCGGACAACGCGCCGCAGCACGGAGAAGCAAGGAGCGGAAGACCTTCGGAGAGGCAGAGGTCCGAGAAAGGAAGGCCTTCTCGATGAAATGGGATCCGGACCCGAGGGTACGGAGTACGGAGCAGAGGGTAGCTTCCGCGCGACTCTGGGCTTGCCCTGGGGCTCACTGAACCTTGGCGTGCATGGCGTGAAAGATCCCGACCTGGCTCTGGCGGGAGCAAAACAGCGCTCTGTTCCTTCGAGCTGCTTGAAGTTGGTATCGGCGAGGAGCATGTGCTCTAGACTCTAGACTGGATAATTCATGATAATTCCACCTGCAGGTGCCAAACCTGTTCAATGCCGAGGATAAGACGCAGATTCTGGAGGTGGGGTTAAGGGCGAATTCAGTTTAAGGGCCTGGAATTCTGCCATGGAGACACAGAGTTGGCTGTGTCAGGTGTCGACATCGGCGGCCCAGGCCGCTGGATGCAGCGATCCTGCGGAGGCTTGCGCTGATCACCTTCGTTGCTTCGGAGGGGCCGTGACCAGTCAGTTCATTGCGCCTCCTGTCGTTGAGTCCGCCAGGAAACACAGTAGTTCGAAGTGGCGTGAGAAGTGTGTTGCGGACAAGTTGCTCCATCCGTCCTAGATTTTGAACTGCTGCGTCGGTCCCGGCTCCGCCTGTGTGGACCAATCATGCACTAGCTTCTTGCCACTGGCTTCTCACAACTTCATACCAGTGCATCGCTGTAAGAAGCTCATCAGTCAGCTCCGCAAGCATCTTCTCGCCTGCCCGCGGTTCGCATGACTGTCGCGCTGGTCGCCCAGTAGAGGATCTGGGAGCAGATCCGCGACAAACTCGTGGCCTTGCCAGTTTCAGGAAAGACCCCCTCAGCAAACATCGGCAGCACAGCAACGCCATGGACATGAACGCAACAGCTCCCTGACAAGCTTCGCGCAGCAGCATGGTGTACAGTGTGCAACATGCTGGGCACCACTTGGCTCCGCATGGGAATCAAAAGAACGCTGGGCTTGGCCTTCGAGGGGCGCCTCCCGGAGCTAAAGGAAGAAGCTTTCAAGCCCAGGAGAGGTCAAGGATGGGGAGGAGCTTCAAGTTTCACGTCTGAACTCCAGTGTCCAGGAGAGACCGGCGAGCCACTGAAGTTGATTAGATGGGATTCTCCGAGTGCTCATTGATGACATTCTGGCCATGCCGTTGTTGTGCGTATTTCCGTGCACCATTTTAGGGTAGTTTGTACTTCTGTATCTTGCGCACTCCAGACCCCTTAGCCATAACTCGGATTGCGGTCGTGCAAAGACTAGTTGTCGAGCGTCGAGAAACTAACTTGGCCTGTATCGCAGATTTTCGCCTTCTTCACAGAGCAATGCCGTCAGAACCTTTGAAGTGAGATCACGGAACTGGGTTTGTTGGCGCTATCTCGGTTCAGACAGGCTGTTGATACAGTGGCGACTTGCATAATTTGCAGTAAAGATATTAGAGACTGGAGTTTCATTTCAGCGACGTTTGCTTGTGCTTTCCCCCGGCTTCGTTTTGCAGTTTGTCTAGAAGAACAACATCTCGCTCCAGCCCGTAGCTGAGGCAAGAACCTGCACCTCGTTCTTGCGCTGTCGCCTATTGGTGAGGCACAGTTTTTGCCTGTGCCCTGTGAACTATCGGGGGAGTGATGAGCAGGAAGCCTCCGGAAGCTTTGCCAGGCATTCCGTCGACGTGTGCGGATGTTCCCAGCCATCGTCAACTGCTGCACGATCGACTGGAGCTCAGATTCGTACGACCTGCAGAGGAAGTAAAACAGGCAACGGCAGACTCCAAGACACATAGGGAAATGACGGTAGCGAAGAGATTGGGGGGGCTAGCACGCGAGCATGGGCTCTGAGCGGATGATTAAAATCCTTCTGCAGTCGCACCCGTGCTACCATCTACTCCTAGAGAAAGACGAACACTGTGCTTGCTGGAAAAACAGAAACGCGTGATCCTCGGCGACCGCCGGCGTGCTCCATGTTTTGCTTTGAAGGATTGGTTCATGGAGTGGCCAGAGGAAGCGCTCCGTGGGGTGGCCACCCATTTCTTGCAGAAGGTCGCGGATGCATTCCGAACTGAGTCCCACAGGTCCCGCGCAAAAGACTCAGGGGCAGCTTATCTGGACAGGTGGACCTGGCGAAGGACGTTTTCACTGGAGTGGTGGAGTCCGTGCCTCAGAACGTCTCAAGCAAATTCCCAAAAGAGGGAAAGACACAGGTTTAGGACATCCACCGCAATCTGAATATCGATTAAGAGTGATGTCGGCGGTGTGTGCAAGACATGCCACAAAGGCCACCTCAAAGAGCCAGAAAGTGCCATCCCGATTCACTGCAACCTAAAGCATTCAGCTGCGACGCTGGACATGTCGTATTCCAGAACTTGTGCTTGGTCGCCGCAGAAGCTTTTGACAACTCGTCGGCTGCAGAAGCTTAGCGGCAACCAGCCGACAAAGGATTTGTGTGCGCATGCAAGAGTCCGTCTTCGAGCTCACGGACCGCTTCCGCCGCGAGGCTTGGCCATGTAGAGAAATCGGCTTGCCTTGCCCACACACTGTTTCCGCTAAGGTTTCATTCCACTGCGCTCTGAATGGTTTGGTAAGTTTTGTGCTGGGTGAGTCCACAAGCAGATCCGTGAGGTGCAGCGGCACTACTATGCTTGGAGCTCGGAGCCCTATGAGCGATGGGAAGTGCTTGCTACATCTCTGATGGAGGTCACGCCCACATCATACCTGGAGCTCATCAATTCCTTCAAGGGCGCAGCAGCCTTGAGAGTGCTACGGAGGTATGGCCGTAAACCGCGCAGCCACAACAAGTCCGCTCGTGGGATTTTCGCTGCGCTCCAGCCTCGAGTCTCGAGGTCTTGGCGAGCAAGCGAGATGACGTCTCTGGTGCGAAGCGGCGCTACGATGATGGCCTCGAGAAGGTGATCTCCACTGAAGAGCAGGCAAGCCAAGCGCGGCGACAGCGAGCCAGCGCATTGGGCCTTGTTGATGCAAGCGTGCAGGTGAAGACGATGTCCATCCAGCTGGAAGAGCTTCGACCTGCCGGGCACTCGGGCGCCGGTGAGGCTGTATCACTCCGGAAGAAAGTCTTGCAGCCTTGTTTCTCCAGGTGCTCAAGCAGACGTCTGCAGAGACAGCAGATCTCATGACCGTAATCGAGCACAAGCAGGAAGAGGCCATGTGTTCTAGCGGAGACGGGGAACCGGACCGGAACATCCCACGCGTTGCAGGCCTCAGCAACACAGGCGGTGGTGGCGAAGGAAGAAGAAGCTGCATCGCAACAGGCCTCGAAGAACCGGCTTTTCTTAAACAAACAGAGAACTGGGATTTTGGAATTAGCCCACCTGGGCAGGCAGAAGCCTCCCGCACCATGAAGGAGGAATGCCAGGCTGACTTGGACAAGGTGCCTTGTGCCTGCCATGGGATCTGCTGGACGCCGTTGTTTGGGCCGTGGGTTGTGTCACTTTGTAGGTATGGCCCTTGAATCCCAGTTCGCATCGAGGAGTGACGCTTGCGAACTGTCACGCAGGAAAGTAAATCAAGCTGCCATGATAGCAATCCTCACAAAACCCGTGGTGTTGGAGATTAAAATCCCTTTGACTGACTGGTGAGTGCAAGCTTCGCAGTTGCCCTCAAATCATTTAGCTCACGGCTCACAACTCTTACAAGAAATCCAATCCGCTTGCCGACAAGATACGCAAGATAAGCGAAATAATACTAGTTTGGCGACGGCAGCTGTTGCCACAGTGCAGCAGTTTAAGATGTTGCAAGGGAGTTCCAGAAGTCTTCGTGGATGCGGTGGTTTCTGCGCACACACGCATTGGTGACGACATGAACTTGTAGAAGCATATGGCGCTCGAAGCATGACGCGTGCAGAGCGAGGGAACTTGGCAAGCACATCGCGTTAGACTGCGATTTGCCTGCGCGTTGTGGCTTCTCTCACAGGCACTGCCAGCCTTGAATGCGGCTTTGGACGCGCTGAAGAGCCTCAAGAAAGGTGCGAGCGCCTTTTTTGGTGGTTGAGTTTAGCCCTGAGCTGTTTGAGTTAAAGCAGCTTGCGAGCCAGGTGACATCGTGGAGGCATTTGTTGCTTGGGGGCATGCTCTCTGCCCTCTGGCGGGTAGTGCTAGGCAGTGACATCATGAAGTCAGTGACTTTGGAAACTGTCCAGGGCAGGTGAGGTATTGGCAATGCCAGTGCAATACCACTGCTAAGGTGGTTCGTGGTAGAAATGTTCTCAGACTTGCAGGTGAAAAATATGAAGTCTCCACCAGAAGGCGTCATTACGGTGTCGAAGGCGCTGTGCTGGATGTGCCTCGGCGGCAGACGCGCAAGCCATGCCGAGAGTTCATGACAACTCGAGATCTCTTGCCGGCACAGCAGGCATTGAGACACAGCGACCGAGGTTCGATGTGAAGCCAAAGAAAGTCACTGCGGAGGATGGCCGCACCAAGGCGGCCTTTTCCCCCCGAATGCATCCGGTGTAACCGGCAAGCTGTGTCTGGGACAGATCGATGATTACTGGGAGCCGTCCAAGAAGAGCCTTTGGGGTGTCCGAGCCCCTGAACTCTTCTGTGCTCCTCGTTGAGGAAGTCCTCAGCACACCTTCCCTCGTTGCGCCAAGGACTCAAAGATGTTGGACCGGCTGTTGGGTGTTCCCCCGAGCGAAGGGAATGTCAATGTCACTACGGGATGTGTCAGAGAGTTGCTGCTCGTTTCTTCCTGTAGCAGCTTTCTGTTTTGCTCCGGCGTCCAGCCTCTGGCCTCCTTCAAGCCGGAAAACCAGCCATTTCACTTCACAGCTTCTGTGTATTCCCCCAACAATGCTAATCTAGGTCTGATTCAACACGCTGCATGCGTCTGAGGCTATGACAAGGATCACATACCGGCGCGGTTCCAAGATGCGAAATTTGTGTTCCGTTTGTGGGGACTCCTTGAATTCAAATCCAATCCGTCGAATAAAGTCAGTTTGGGCTCATGTTTAGCACCCATTCCTCTTCCTTCTCAATTTGCACTCGTGGGTACTGTGGGGTTTGGCGTTGAGGGGTGGTCTGAAGGGCACCCCAGACCGGAAAGTCGTGGTGTGGTCAGGTGGAGGTCATCGAAAAGTTGAAGCCCCTGGAGGATGACCCCGAGTTTGATCCGGAGGCGGGGGGCGGGGTCTTCAAGAAAGGAGCTAGATGGGTGAAGTCTCATAAGTCCCGTTGTTGGGGTTATCTCAACTTGAGGTCATCAAGAAGGCATCCACTGCGGCCATGGGTATCTGCAAATGGGCCAGACACTCGTGGCCCGCGAGACCTGCGGGCAGAGCTTCGATGCGAATCCATGTGGAAGCCTGTAGGAGCTGAGTTTTGCTTAGGTCCGTGCCATGATTGTGTACGACGGTGTGGCGAAAGTCGTAGGGCCTAAGAAGGAGGCGCCAGGGACCCTAAACCCCCTAACCCCTAAACCCCTAAACCCTAAACCGCAAACCCCTAAATCCGAAGCCCTTAACCCTAAACCCCTAAACCGCTAAACCAAGATCCGGCAGCCCTCGGCCCTCCGCCAGGCCCTGGCACAGGCAGAATCCGAGCTGGCCAAGGCCGTTGCTGTTAGGGTTTAGGGGTTTAGGGTTTAGGGCTTCGGGTTTAAGGGTTTAGCGGTTTAGGGGTTTAGGGTTTAGGGTTTAGGGCTTCGGGTATAGGGGTTCGGGTTGAGGAGTTTCGGGTTTAGGGCCTCGGGTTTGGGGGTTTAGGGGTTTAGGGGCTTAGGGGCTTAGGGGCTTAGGATTTAGGTGTTTAGGGGTTTAGGGTTTCTTCAACATGTCGGTGCATGACCAGGCATTGTGTTCTGTGGTCCAAAGGCGTAAACTAGCTCTACCTGTTGGGCCGTCGATTCGCCATCTCTCTTTCGGCTTTGCAGCATATTGCAATGATGTACCTCAAGTCCAAACAGGCCAGCGCAGAGTCTCTCCTTCTCTCTCTCTGTCTGTCTTTACTCCTCGCGCACGTCTAGAGACTGCGTTTTCATGCTTTCCAGGACTTGTCGCAAAACCTGCAAAAGTGTTTGGGCATTGCATCACCACAGAAGTCCGGAAAGCTTTCTGCAAAACACAGCACGAGCCCCCAACGCGGAATGCCATCCAGCCTGCTCGCAGTTTACAGTCTTCTGCGGCACAAGTTGCCTGCTTCAGCGTCAGCCATCACTGTGGCGTTTCTTCACAAGCCGCACCTCTTGGTGCAGACTCTTTGCTTGAAAGGGAAGGTTGGCAACTCCAAGCTTCACAACTCAGTTGATTCGGTTGGAATTGAGCGAGGATTGCCCTGAATACCTCTCAGGCCCTACGACGAGAGCTGCATCAACATTATCTCCCTGGAGACTGGCAACGCCATCAAATCCATAACAGTACGGCACATTGGCAACGCGGCCGCCATCCTTGCCGGCATATCCGAAATCACCACCTGCTCTGCAGAAGGCCCCTGCGTCATCAAAAAGGGCTCCTTTGGCTTTTCTGTTGAGCTGAGCCCGGTGCCGGAAGTTACTGGCCAGCAGGTTTGGCAGAGCTTCTCAGAGCCTCCACGCCGCATTTCGGACTGGAGGCTCTCTGTCCGACGCATGGAATCGGGGCTGCAGCCGGTTCTGGAGCGCAACCAAGACGGCGTTCATGTCCACCTTGGCTCAGTTGTTGGTTCTGTAGAAGACGGCTGGTTTGCTTTTGCATCCTGGACTGGCGACAAGACCATCGAGGTGACAATCCTAAGCAAGCTTGGGGAGGATATTGGCAGGCCGCTGCTTTAAATCCCTAGGATCGAAGAATTTTCGGAGTGTTTTCATGCTGCCAGGCTGGAAGCATACGCGTGGAGAAGATGTAGCCGTGACCCCTCCGTATTCAGTATGCACGCAGACAGAGACATCCTGGTGCTGCGAAGCACTTTCGATTGGGGACATATCTACGCAAGCCTCGATGTGCAGCCTGCTTGCATTTTCGGGCCTGGCTTGAGTTTCGTAGGATGACTAATGATGCCCATGTCTCATGCAGTTGTTTTTCTTTGCGGCGTTACTTCTTATCATTAGCGGAAGAAGAAGGTACAAGATTGACGCCGAGCATTGCCAAGTCATACCGGTGCCGATTGAGTACCGCCAAGAAAACATCGAGTGCATATCTTGCAGTCCCACACATTGCCTGTTAACGTGGGAGTACGAGGTCTTCGCTTACGAGCTAGGCCCCAACTTCTGGAACAGCCAGCGGGTTGTCATTCCAATGTCCCCCCGTTGTGGGCGAACAAAAGGAGCTCATTTCCTTCAAGACCAAGCTCACATCCTGCTTTCAACAGCGCGGTTCCCTGATTATTGTTTCGGTCGTGAAGATGATGTCACATTGAGCGTTGTCGAATGGTCGGCCACAGGACGCCTTTTCCCGTTCCAGGTGGTGTTAGCGGGCCAGTTGGACGGCGGGGTTCGTGCATGCAATCTGCGCCGAGCTGACTGCAGAGGGCTGGAGGGCTTAGATCTGCCCGAATCAAGCATTGTGGCAGGTTGGAGCAAGTCCATCTTTAAGAGATAGTCTGCCGAATTGATTTCTGGGTCAAGCAGATAAGTTGTGAGGGTGGCTGGAAAGGATACGAGACGCTCGATTGGCGATGTGTCAGATCCTTGGAAGCGGCCTATATGTTGCGTGAAGTCAATGAATCGTTTCTGTGTCGTGAGCTGTGTGTTTCGCATTGACCATTGATCCTTTCCAGCGCCTGCTTTTCGCAACGGTACAGCTGATTTGACTCACCTCTCGCCGGAGCAGCACTTTTGGCAATTTTAGTCCAATGCTGCCTGAATTCAGAAGGATCGGCTGCAGTCGAAAAAGAGCTTCGCCACACCGGTCGGTGCTGGCCAGTAGGGTTCTGATGAGCATGTCCAAATTACTAGTACGTTGTGATATGTTGCTGCGACTTTGCACATTGACGCTGATGTGCACCCGAATAATGCAAAGACTCGGCAGAGATTCAGCATGCAGGTCATGGGTGTGCTGAATGAGAAGAAAGCAGAGCTCAAAGCTGTGCAGGCCAATGTCCTTTAGGTTAGGTATTAGACGGTGATATGCATGTCACAAAAGTCGATGCTGCAGACATCCGCAGACGGAGACTCACCAAATGAGCATGCGTGCCAGTCAGGTCGTGTTAAGTCTAGACTGCCGTCATGTTGGCAGGACAATGTGTCGCGGCTGCTGGCAGATTTCGAGTCTGCGAGGAAGAAGAAAGATGATCTTGCCGTGCAGGCGGGCACCCTGCGCCCGGCTCTTTCTCGTCTGAGATCCCGGGCGGGCTGAGATGCGAGGTGGATGACTGCAGCAAGCGCCTCGTGCGAGCAGAGAAGCTGATCAGCGGTCTGGGAGGCCAGCCGATGCCAAGGAGCCGTAAGTAGACAAGGAGCAAAGCACGTGGCTCCGATTTGAGGCGAGAAAACGCGATGGATCGAGTCGTCGAAGCGGCTTGGGGAGCAGTACACCAACCTGACCGGAGATGCGCCGACCTTATCGCGGTAGTCTTGGTCTGGCAGCGAGCCCGAGTTTAGAGTTTGCAAGGTGCTGGTACCCGCCCTTTCCCAAGACCATCCTCTGAAAGTCGCCTGGCAGGTGCTCATTGGCTCGGGCATCCTCGCCTACCTCGGAACCTTCACCGGTCGGTATCGTGTGGACACAGTGAAAAGTTGGGCAGCAGCCCCGGTTTGCAAAGGAGCCTTGATCAGTCCATCTTGTTGCTGAATCTTGCAGTCTGTCTGTTGGCCTTCCGCAGCCGCTATCTCAGACAAGCGGATGTGCTGAAGTGCGCTGAGCCGCAACAGCCTTTCGGTGCCCACAGCACAGCAACACTTCACGGTTGGAGCCGCTTCGGACCGTGATGGAGGTGTTGACCTGCGTGAAGAATACCTTTGTCGAATTTGCAGATGCAGAGAGCCCCAAATTCGAGCACCGCCGGAGCAGATCATTCGGATGCCCGCGTGATCTGCAGTTTCACAAACTCCAGACTTCCACCAATCACACTTCGTATGCTGCACTTGACGATATCGGCCTGCATGAGACGGGAGCGACTGGCAAGAAGACTTCAGAGATTATCACACAGACCCTCAAGAAGCCCGGAACCGGGACAACAGCAGTGGCCCAACTTGCTGCTTCCTTGCCCAAAGGATACTCCCTTACGCTTACGCACCATGGCGAGCCCGACACCGCGAAGTGCATGCCTGCTGACACGACAGACTCCAAGACGACCGGCCACAAACCGACCGCGGCCAATGGCAGCCTTCAGGCCCAGCCAACAGCTGCTGTCAGGCAGCCTTTTCAGACAAGGCAGCCTTGCCTTCCGTGCGGCAGCTACCTGCAGAACGAGATTCAGGTTCAGAGTCCGATCTGGTCTCCGCCGACTGCATCTGAGAGAGTCCTGTCCTCGACTCCAGCGATGTCCTGGCAGACTTCTCACTGGCAGTCCCCGAATTCGCCGAACGTCTATCCTGATCCACGGCTGCACGCCGCACAGTCCTACGGAGCAGCCCACCCTTGGCAAGCATACACACCTGGAGCGACATGGCATCAGAATGTCATGCCCCCTGCCGTCCCTGCCTACGACCCTGTAGTGAACAGCGCAGTGGCTGCAGCCGCTGGAGTCGCGTCAATGGCCAGTCTGGCGGTGGCCTTCAGGCAAAGTCTCGCTTGGCAGAGTCTCTTGGGGGCTGCCCCCGGCATCAGCGAGCTCCCAGCTTCTCACGACTCTTTCGTGCCCCCGCAACCTCCCGGATGGTGGGGCGCCCAGGTGCCGACCGAGCCAGTGGCAGAGTCTGCCTGTCCCGACACCCTGCCATGCGATGACCCAGCAGAGCTGGAGCCAGCTCCCGAAGAGGAGCCCGAGCAGAGCGACCCTCTGCAGCACCGACAGACGGGGAGGGCTAACATTTCCCAAAATCTGACTCCTTCTCAAGCCCGCAAACACCGCATGCACCGACCTCTGCGTGCTCCGTCCCGACGTTGGTGTTGCTTCAAGATCAAGATGCATGCTGACAGAACCTTCCATCCAGTGCGGATGATCATCGGCAAGGGAGGCAACAATACGCGACAGATCGCGTTGCAAACGGGAGCCAAGGTCAGAATCCGAGGCCGTGGCTCAGGCCACATTGAGCCTGCAACCGGCGAGGAGGCCCCCACACCATTGATGCTGGTTGTGTCGGCAGACTTCGGCAACACTGAAGGTTACTTCAGTGCGTTGGACATGAGTCTTGAGCTCTTGCACACCGTCGAGTCTGCTTACAAGGACCACTGTGCCGCGACTGGCATCAAAGGAGTCTCTCCAGCACTGGTCATTGGCAGCATGTGCGGCTTCACAGAATCCCAGCTGGACATGCCGGAATGCGCAGCAATGACGCCGGGTCCTCGGTGACAGCAATGTAGCTATGCCTTCACAATCTCCGCACACCACCGCTTTGCAGCGCATTTCGTTGAACTGAGGGCCCGCTGCCTAGCAGCCATGAAGCAATACCTCTGAGCTCTGCTGGGCTCTGCGAACGGAATTTTCACAAGCTCTCCATGCATGTTCTGCATTCGTCACTTGCGGAAACCCTGCTCAAGCATGCTTCATTCTTGCACACCCCAGGAGATTCACTAAAACGCCAGCTTGGCTGACGGTGCTGGATTCGTTTCCATAACGCTTGATGCAGGGCGTAGTCCCAATCTGTTCAATGTGACAGAAGCAGCCTTCTTTGTCGACTGCCAGCTCTGAAATCTCAGTGGATATAGCAACCAGTGGATGCTCTTGTGCTTTAAGGTTTAAGGTTCAAGGTATAGGGCTTCGGCCTCCCGGGTAGTCCGACATCGCAGGCTGAGCTGAAGATTGTACCTGTACCGATCTCGGGGCCCTAGTTGGCCCGAATATGCCGGAACGTTCCTTGCCAGATCAGGCTCTGCAGATGAAGTTCGTAGAACAATCATTCCCTTAGGGCTCCCTGCTCCTTGATAGATTTTACACCAAAGCATAAGATGAGAGGGCCTAAACCCGTAGGATCCTCAACGATTGACTCTGGGAGCGTTTAAATCACGAAGAGCCGATCTCTGTTGACCTCCTGAGTTACAGACTGTCATGCACGCTGTCGAAAAAGAGCGCTTCGGATCGGGAAGCTGGGAGACGCGAGCTGCTCAAAAAGCCCTAAACCCTAAACCCCAAAAGCGCCAACTTCCGACGGATCTGAGGTGCAGCTCATGAAAGAGAACCAGCTTCCCTCGGCGCAGGAGTTCTCACTTCGCACCGTCTTGGGCGACGAGGCCAGTGTCTCGTGACACTCCGGGACATACGTAGCGACTGAACCCGTGCGGCATGAGAAGAGGTGCAGATCCGCCAGTGGGTGATCGACAAGCTTCCAAACGATCAGGCGCTCTTCCGTCCTAATGATCAGTAATTCGACAGGCTTCTACTACAGACTTTTTAAAAGTTTCTTGTTTGCTCTCTCTCTGTCTCTATCTCTCTGCCTCCCCTTCCCTCCTCCCTCCCCTGTCTGTGGATGTGCAGTGTGGGCTGATGCGGCAGCTTGTCAGAAGACTTGCCAGCGGTTCCCGGTCCATTAGTGCAGCATGCTTGTGTGGGGAGAATGTCACTGGCAGGTTTCAGTGGAGAATGCCATCATCATCCAGAGGTGAGCTCGGACTTACCCCAAGCCGCACAGATGAGACATTGTCGCGAGACTGTTGGAAAGACTGTTTCAGCGGCAGGTCTCGTCGGTGGCCGCTGATGATCGACCCGCAGCTGCAGGCGCGAATGGGCAGAGAGTTAGACGCACTCGGCACTGACGCAGTTTCCAGGCCAACCAATGGGTGCGAAAGACGTACGCAGGCCATCTGCAAGATTGTTTTTAGGAAGAATCAAGAACCAGCAAATTGTATCGCCCTTGTCTGCAGGGCGCGGAGAGCAGCTCCGAATTCTTCGGCTGACACAGAACTACGCCCGCGAGCTGGAAGGCCAGAGTGAAGACCACTGCAGTTGCAGTGGTCTGGGCCTGGGGGAAAACACAAGAGATCCTGAGGTGCGATTACCTATGGAAAGCCTACACTTCTGGAAAATGCAAAGGGCTTGGCGCGTTTTGTGGTGTAAGTACCTCTTTGCCTGATCAGCACCAGAAGTATCATTGTGAATCGAAATCGGCAAGTATAGTCCAGTATGGTACGGTATGATATAGTATAGTTTCTAAGGTTCTGGAGCAATTGGATCCGCTCCTGGAGCCGCTCCTACAGAAGGCAAAAGAGAAGACTTTTTCCGAAGACGAAGGGATGTCTTTTGTTAATGTTCGACGTAGAAAGCGCAGGCCATCTTCAAAGCCGGCAGCGTGGCCAGTTCCTGAGAGCCTTGGCATCTTTGGCTTGCTGGCGCATGAGCTCACAATGCCCAGATGATGATTCGCCTGGGTGACTCCCAGTGTGAGTACAACAAGGCCCAGTTGCAGCTCATGATGTGGTAAAGGGTCGTTGACGAGAACTCTGCGGGAATGCGCAGATTGGGCTAGGACATGGATGGACCCGGGGCGGGGGAAGAAGTTATCGCGGTAGATTACTCCCCCAAGCTTTCCACCATAGTCTCTCGCGTTTGGTGGTAAGTGAGCCTGACTAGGAGCACGGAAAGTGCACTCCAGAGTCAGAGATTTTCAACCCGGCAGGACTTCCGCTTCTTCATCACCACGAAGCTTCCAAATCCGCACTACTCGCCAGAGATTTGCGTGCAGGCGCTCTGCAGCCCGGCAGCCTGACGACGCGTGACTTCTGGGAATGATGGCTGGCCAGGTTACGTTGCTCAACTTCATGGCTACTCCTGATGGACTGCAGGTCTTGCTCCTAAGCTACCAGGGCATCGAGCTGTCTTGTCTTTCTAGTGGGCAAGAGGAGCTTTAAATCTGAGTATCTGCAAGCAGCCATGGGATGATTCGTGCTTCAATGAATTTAGGCGCATCACACGCGTTGATTTGAGGATCAGATGCTGGGCATCCTGGTTGCTAAAGAGGCACCAGCCTGCTTGTGCCTCATGTTCTTCGAAGGTGTTGACAGGCCTTTTGAGCCCGAACGCTGCACCGTAAACCCGTAACTTCTGGACCCCAAACCCTACACCTTAGACCGCTAGCCCAAAGCTCCAAACCTGAAGCCCTAAACTAACCCTAAATGCCCGAAATCACAGGAGCCTGAAGTGGAACGGAAGCGGCAGAACCTCGTCGTGGAAAGCGTGTGCGGCTTACGCAAGCTACATGTGAAGTTGAAGTAGAACACATCTTAGTTTGGGTTTGGGAGGCGCTGCTCGCAGCAATGCAAGCTCTTCGTCACAGTCTTTTCGGTATTTTTGTGCTGTTCCAGCCGTGTTGTTATCCCTTTCGTGTGCAGTTCTTTTTGGATTTGACTAGTCTATGCCCTGTCAAATTCTGAGCTCGTTGCCGCTCAACTTTTGCCTTTTTTCGGTTCGTCTCCTCTCTTTCGCTCTTTGCCTAAACCAACTCCCTCTCCCCCACGCGAAGAACAAGCTCAACCTTTAGCAAACCCTAAACTCGACGCCGTTGAAGTAACCTTTGTCGTAACCCTTCAGGTAACCCTGATAGTCACACTTAAAGCAACCCGGATAATCAAACCCTGAGAGTAACCCTGAACGTACCCCTTAAAGTAGTCCTTAGAGCAACCCTGGTAGTAAAACCCGTGCAGTAACCCTGAAAGTACAACCCGGTAAAGTCCTAAACCCAAAACCCTAAACCCCTAAACCCTAAACCCCTAAGCCCTAAACCCTAAACCCTAAACCCCTAAACCCTAAGCCTGAAAGTTTCTTCGCCGAGGCTCAGAGCAAGGCCCAGCTCAAAGAGATCGAGGCACCCAGTGGTGCCCTGGGTGAGTTTAGGGTTTAGAGCTCAGGGGCGAGGGGTTTTAGAGTTTGGGGTTTAAGGGGTTACGGTTTAGGGTTTAGGGAT